AACCTATCGGGGTCTTATGCAGTTCACCACTCCAAGTCCTGGGGCTTAGGTTACCGGTTTTCACCACTGAACAGCAGTTCCTTGTGACGAGCGAATGAGGCTGTGAAAATTTTTATCATTCAAACGTATGGTGCGCTGGTAAAGAGGACGAATTGACAAAATTTGCACGAACGCAACGGCAAAAGCCGTGCAATGGTGGGGGCGGGGAGAGGGTCAGACACTTACACAGCGCCAGTAGGGGGTACTGGGGACATCCAACCGGATGAGATACTGGTTCGATCGTCCTCCTGATGATCACGGGAATAGATCTGGAGCAGGTTGTCTCGTATGGTCAAATCGTGTCTGAGCTGACTGATCTGGAATAGACAAAGAGAGACAAATTTTTCGTGAATCGAACACGTGGACGTATGGACAGATAGTGAGTAGAAAGATCACTTTGAGTTCGTGGTTCTCACTCCGCTTACAACACGACTAGGAGAGTGAATCATCCCAAGCTAACGCACTCTGTGTTCACAAAAAGGGAAAGACAGTGTGTACTGGGAGACACTGATTGCGTAATCAATCCGCAAAGATGAGAAGGTCCTTGTTAAAAGGAGACGAACAACCAGTCTGCGATTTCCCACTCCAATCAATGCTCAAACAATCCTTGTTGAGGCGGGAATCCCACAACGCATAGACCTAGTCCAGTTAATGGAGCTGGCACCCAGTGAACATCAATGCATGCCAGTGAGTGAGTGAGTGATTCAACAAAGCCCAGTGGAATGGTAACACGCAAATACTGCAGACCGGATGTTCTACCCCATGACCCACTACTTTACTCGAGCATACCCATTCTTCTACACGTACATGCCACGCCCGTTTGTGGGGGACGGCAGAGCACAGTGTACCTGTGTGTGTGTGCGACTGTAGGGACCTAAGGTGATTCTGAGAATGGAGGCCGGAGAGCGAGTGATTTTCAGGTCATTTCCTATCTGTGATATACACATGATGATGGATCATTTGACCTAATTTGTCCCAGTTATTAAATTTTACTGGTCCGATGATGACGAAGTCGAACAGAAGGCAGGGAGGGAACAGGACACGTGTAAAGTTCAACCCACGTGTCCCATTCACTTCAATGTGCTGGTTAGAATAACGAGCGAGTGAGTGAGTGGGTGATCAATGTTGAGGTACAGGGAAGACCAGGTGTATTTTTCATCTGAAAGGAATTGCCATAAGTAAGCCGATAGTCATTGGTCCGAAACACAGGTCAGTCGCGGAGAAACAGAGCACCAAATGTATCTATCCACAGATTGGGACCAAATGCTCCAAAAACAAAACACGAACCCGACTGCTGAAGTTCTCTCCCCCCCCCATTGTCCGTGGAGTTGACCAGGACAGAGCAGGTGATGAAAGTATGTGGAACACGACTGGAAAGAACCACGGATAAAGTGACAAGGACTAGACAAATTGCTTTGACGTAAAGATTCCTGTATCATCATTTGTGACTTCGAAAGCCTCAGTATGGTCGGGGTGGGTGTCTAGGGTTGCGGCTGGTCACAATTCAATGCCCTCGTGAAATGCTCCCATACGACCAAGCATCTCAAATAGCCTCTGCTGAGGAAGCCCTACTCACAGCCTTCTCGTAGAGGTGTTTTCTCACCAAAATGAGTGGACGAAATACCGACATCCGGGGCTATAACCGGGTTGATGGACCACCGGTGCTTCACCTAGGGGAGTTGGCCAAAAACCCTGATTCCAAATCAACCATGAGGCGTACGAACCACATCATATATACACATACATCATTTGTGTGTGTGAGGGAGTGTTCGTTCCGAGAGAAACAAACCACTTCTACCAGATAGAAAGTCATCAAGATAACACTGTTCATGGGTCTTGATATTGCGTCCGCGAGACTGAAGCATGGCTTGTTGATCGACCTGCCTACGGGCCTGCGGATTGAAAACCCTCAAGATTTCACATTTCACCAAGTTTCAGAAGACGGAATTTGTTCGACAATGTGTATGTACTACCTACAATTCTGTGACGTGAACAGCTTTGACGAGCGATAAACAAACAGATTGTCCGAGAAAACACCAAGGGGCCAGAGGGTGGGATAAATTGGACGGGTAGGAGATACTCTTTTCACTAGCCACACCACGCGGCTTAGAGGTGAAAGTGGTCCAGATTATCCAACATTACCAAAACATCTTCAAAAGCTTCAGTCAGTATGGTAGGGAGCGGATAGCCTCAACTTATGCTGGTCACCATTCCCTTGCACCTTACGAAATGCTCCGATACGACCAAGCGTCTCAAATAGCCAATCCTGCTGAGGAAATCGTACTCACTACCTTCATTTTGGCAGAGGTTTTTCTTGTTTATAAAGATTGCTGTGTCGTGAGTTGTTTGGCATACAGTCTGGCCTCGGACATGTTCCCATTTGAGTTAAATGGAAAGTTGAATCCCACGAAGTTCGACCATTTAGCAGGAGAATGACTGGACTAAATAACCAAGGCGTTTGATCAGAAACTTCACTGCTAAGTGATCATAGAGTGCGTTAAGTGTGACCCCAAATCTAATCACAACCGTATCGTGATGGGGTTAGGAAACTGAAGTATCAACGGCGAAAAACCTGGAATCATAGTAAACCCGGTTCTTCACCTGCGGANCTGCGGAAAGCTAGAACTGGTTGGAATTGAACGAGGCGAGGTACACATACACACCGCAGCTTGGTGTCTCCGCGACAAATGGATTAGCCACTTGGGCGAATTTGCGCTATAAACGCTCAGGCCCGGGTGCGAAATACAAGTAAGAAACGCAAGTAGGGTTGTGGCCTAAAGTGGAGCACAACCAGATGTAGTGAACGCAACAGTCAAACAGAGACGTGGCATGGCGCCGCCAAAAAGAAACACACACACACATGAAGACAATGCTCTCTCCCCCTAATCTTAGGGCATGAAATGGACACCACGAACATTGGGTTATCAGTTGCAACCCGCCCACCCTCCACCGTCCAAAAACCCACGATACATGTTCACGATGAACAAGCCTTGTAATGTGATCGTAAAACGTAGCTTTTTGACATTCATGCACTGCATCTTTTTAACCGTTCATCATAACATCATTATCATTTACAAAAACGCATGCGCCTTGGCTGGTTGAAACAAAGAATTGCTATCGAAACATTTCGAAATCTTTGGTTTTCTCCATGACAATGACGTGCAGTTTTTATGCACACTGGAGCTGATAATTCATATCCTGAAGGCCGACAGACCGGTCGCAATCAAATCCGAAACTCACTGTGTCCTCCGTGGATATCAACTTTTTCTCCGCGTCCGATAAACGTCGTTCAAGTTCGTGATTCTTGTCCAACAAGTTTTTCCCTATCTTTGCCGCCAATTCCAAATCATTTTGTTTCTACGCGTGAAATGGAGGGGGAAAAATACAAACAAGGTAACGGATGAAGCGCACGATCGACGAAATAGTAACCATTTATACAATGATTACAAGTATCGTGAAAAATATGCGTGTGTGTGTGGGGGGGGGGGAGGGGGAAGGGTAGTCACCATTTGATGACAAAATCCGGCAACATTTCTCACATGTGCAGCACTTGTAGGACCGACATACGTATGGATCTGGATCCTGGTAAATTCAGATTTAGGCGTTTTGGATCTCCCAACAAATAGATCCGGATCTGATAAAATTAAAGAATTCCGACTGATCACTCGAGCCACAAACGCACGCTTCAGAATTTCCTATATCCACTTGCTGGCATCTTTCATTTTTACTTCCTTTTTATTGGATACATAATTATACAGTTCTCAGGAAGGGGAAGCGGCCAATCAAAAGGCTGTCATACAACACACAAACATACACAATGGGGGAAGTCAGATGGTGGTGGTAGTGGTGGCAGGATTCGAACACGTGTCCCCGGAGTGATAATTTGGTGACATTATCACCGGGTCAACAGCGCCCTGACTGACTTTATTTTCAAACATTTTGGAAACGATGAAGTATGTTCTCCTTCGGACACTCATCAGGTTGGAGCGTTGATATGGCGTTCACAATGGTAAATGCAAAAGCATAAAGGAACTTTCGGCGCCAAAACTCGAAACGACTGACGCAGTAAGTTATGCCCCCACTCTATGCACGTTTGTTATCGTGCTGACCAATGCCGCTGTCAAGCGACAGTATGCCTCGTTTCGACTCGCTGAGTCGTCTGTACATGATTGGAGACATTGAAGGTCATGGCTGTGAACCGACAGCAATGGCGATCATGCTGTCACTTCTTATCAAACCAGAATGCTTGAAATAGTATGTGCGTACAGTTGGACTGTATACTCTGTGTGTTGACTATGGAGGTGCGCTTTCTTCTCCCGTCCCTAAACGTAAGTCCAACAATCCCTATCCTCCTTACACATTCTCACTTACCCTGTATGCAATATGAGTTTAGCAGCGTTCAGTGAAGTTCGTTTCACTGTATTACGCAATACAATGATGATGATGATGATGTTCGACCGAGTTGTTTTGAATATTTTGTTGACTAAGGATTAGCGGAGGTTTGATCTGGTTGTACCTTTCAGGTTACCTTTTATTGCGCGTATTTTGTGATTACACAGACTTGTAAATTCTGTTAACTCCGACCAAACAGTCAGAAGTGAAGTCCGAAGTCAACCAAAGGGTCAAGACAAGTCATTTAAGCCACACTGAAGTTGCACTAAGACCAAATAGATCAATGAAAAGACTTGGACAGGGACAGATTTTGACGAATCAAAGTCAAGTTGCTTTGTGGGGTCGTGTACTCATCAAACTTGTCAGTTTCGCTTCCACCTTATCAAATCGCCAGGTTTCTGAAGCTCCTACGGAAAGTTCATTTCGGGAGCAGGTTTCATTATCGAGAAATAACGGCAAAAATCCGACAATGCATGACTGACGCAGACCAGTTCAGGCCTTAACCGGAAAGACATACCATCAGCTCCGGTGACCGTACAGATAGCTGACCAAGGCTAGTTTCAAAACAATCGATATACTTGGCCATGCATCGTTATCACAAAACTGCAGATGGGCGACTACTGTTAGTTTAGACTCAAAGTAATTAGCGGCCTATACGATTATCGCTGAGTTGGTATTCATACAAAACGATAGGAAAAAACCTCTCTATGATAAGTCATAGCAACTCTCTTCAGACAGAGACCGTCTGCTGTATTGCGAGAAGTAACGAGTGCGACGAGAGTTATTCTTGGTTCAATCACGTGACACCATCAACTGAGACGAGCACGTCAAGCTATCAGCAATCAGCGAGCGGATCACATGATCGATGAAGTTGGCAAGCAGAAACACAGGCATCCGAACAAGCATGGGCAACATCCGACCGTAAAGTGATACCTGCAAAAAAACCCATACGCGAAAATTCCAATCTCATTGAATCTGAATCGGTAGTAGGAAATGAAATTAGTGTTAAACGCCACCCACACTCGAGTTTACATATATCACAGATTGAGAAGTAATCACGGGAAATAAACCAAAAGATGTTGATCAATTATCTCAGTGTAAAACTATATGTGAAAGTGTCAACTTGTGTGGCGAAGGTAAAAGTGCTAGAAAACTGCGAGTTAAAACAAGTATAGCATAACCGATCGGAGGAATTCGAATAGCTCTGCAAAAAATCCAGGTTGGGGACAGAGAAAACTGATCACTCGTTATTGCTTCGTTTTCTCCTTTTTTTCACGCTCCTTAGCATGACTTCCGATCGCATGAACTGGCGTCCAATTTTCGCATACTCATTAGAACCGAATGCAGACAACAAGCAATCTGAGTGCGGTGTCGTATCAGCAGTGTGTTCGAATCCCACCATCAGTACCCGGACTTTCCCCAAACTGTGTGTTGTATGGTAGCCGTTTGATTAGTCGCTTCCCACTTGCTGAAAGCGGAATGATTGTGTGTGCGATAAAATTACTAAAAAAAATATTAGCCTGAACGTATGCGACATTTCTGAAATAGATTCATCCTAATCCCTGCTAACCTATGAAATTTCGTCACGCCTCCCCGCCTCACGCAATTTTCTCAAATAGTCAAATGTTCAAACAGAATACCAAGAAACTAGGGGCTTTTTTTTACTATGCTAACGTTAGTAGAGTAGGTTGTTATGAAATTAAGTATCCCACTTATATTACATGTCATGTTTGAGATAGAATTTTAAAAACAAACAAACAAACAGACGCTTACGAGCATAGACAAATCCCACTCAACGGGTTCCGAAGGTGAATGGATGTTCCGGTTTGGACGGCCGTTCGACATGGACTGCTTGCCGTGACTGTTCGAAATGGCTTATCTACTCGTAGCCACAGAAATCAAGATATTTTATGTGTCTATGCGTACAGAGATATGCACGCACTTGTGCACGGCGGTGTGTACATGCAGATACCCTGTCTGAGGCCATCACGAGGACACAAACTGGATCTTGCTGAGCGGTGAACAGATGGATAGATATCAATTGATCCGACTATTAAATCTGGGAAAGCATCACATGAATGAATGGATGCATCTGAGTAGGCACTTTACATTTTGTAGATATGAGAACACAATATACACATGCGCGCACACAGACACAGATACACAAACATACAAGAAACCGATATCTAAGACGATAAATCCTGAACAGCTGCACGGGTAGTCGGCGACCAACGAAACATCCATCCATCAGTGAGTGAGTGAACCAATAATAGGTAGAGCATCAGAACAAACTGTATCACGTGGAGCGGGCGGGGGTGGGGGGAGGGTGTGAGCACAAAGTTCACTTGGATCAGGTGATCATTGCATCCGGACCTTGGCACAGTCTGAGGTACGATGTGTGTCCCCAGGTCTGAGAATGATTCCATGGGCTTGTTTAATCCCAGCTAAGATTGGAATCCGGTGGCACATGCATTCACAATCCACCTGGCAAACGCTATTAGAGAGAAAAGAAATAAACACCAGTGCGTACCCGCACAAGAGGTCATTCCCTAATCCAAACACACACACACACACAAACATATTAGAAATTCATCATCTTGTGGTCCCTTCTTTTTATTCTTCTTTCACTTTGGTGTGTCAGGTCTTAAAATGGGCCGATCAATTCTAGAGCAAACCAGCACGAGGACCGCGCTGTGTGCCCGAGCTGCATGTGTCACGTGATCACCTGCAGGTGCATAGATGGTAAGATTCAATATCGGACGATAAAAAAACTGGCGGATTAGTCATGCACGAGGTACACCTAGGATGGATGTTAGAATCTCGTAAGGATCACACTCTCAAGTACAGTTGGTTCAACAGGCTGATATGAGCCGTTGGTATGGGCTACGGAAGCATCGGTTTCGTTTCAGGAACATGATCCATTGCGTTCCTATACGGCAAGGAGAAATTGGTAGCTATTAGCAAACCGTTAAGCAAGCGGGAAGCCCAATTCAACGCACCGTGTGGATGAATTGGTGTCCAAGTTACATTTGGTCTGAGGTGAATGCGTAAACAACAGTGGGCAACGGAGTCGAAGAAGCACACAGTGCCCGTCATGAGAGAACCGAATCAGATGACTCCAGATAAAACAGTGTCTGTCATTTTTCAAAATGTGACAGAACTGCTGTCTTTCGTAATTTGATTAAAAAAATAACTGAACAAATAAAACCCAGTCTTGAAAGTGCATTTTGTGATGTGGCAGTCAGCCTACACACTGACCGGTGGATTCCATATGCATCTGCCAGTTAGATGGGTTATCCAAATGTGAAAAGGTTATGATTATCGATATGGTCGCGTAGTTCAGCTACGGTTCAGGTATGTAACTGAATCCCATCGAAGCTATGGAGCGTTTCAAAATTCCAAATAGGACGGATAGCTTACTTACAATGTTGACAGAACATTGAAATGTATTGAAAATTGGTTCTTGTAGCTCGTCGGGTGAACTGAATTCCATTTCGCCCGTTCGTCCCGAGCGATTGGCAATTTGTTTGTAAACGTTTCATCACCAACAGCCGAGGTGACATCAGCAGTGCTTGTGAAGTACAAGCAGAATGTAGCCACTTCACAGACACTTGTTGATAATGTCATCTCGGCTGTTGGTGATCAAACGTTTGTAAACAAATTGCCAACTGCTCGAGGCGAAATGGAAGTCATATTGAAATGTTTGTCGACGAACTGTTCGGCATAGTAATAGGATGAAATTATGGGTTAAAATTCATCATCGCTCTTTTTCGATGTGTGCAAACGTAAGGAGGGTGAACACACAACACCACCTCGATGGTAATCGTTGAGTTCTTAGTCGCTTTTGCCATCGTAATGGTTCGTCGAGGTGGTTCTAACTTTAAAATCCGGCAACACCAAACACCGCTCCAGGTTTCAAGATGTGACTAAGCAATCATCAGACAAGATAACATTTCTGGGTATCGGTGGCTATCTCCCCCCCCCCCTCAGTGTTATGCAACAATAAACGTCTGCGGATACATACGGTTTATTAATACAACTGGTCACCATGCCAAAGTGGGTGGGGAAAGACCGTGCATGTTTTATTTTCAACGGGAAAAAGACAATGGCTGGTGGCGGTAGTCGAAATCACAATAAAGAGAGAGAGAGAGCTCATGGATACCTCCCCCCCCCCCGCTCCCCTTAGGGGAAAAAACTGAGCCGGAAGCCCCCGTATGAAACGTACCTCTTCTAACAGATGTGTGATTGCTTCCAGATCCTCGTACGTATGTGCCATCTGACTCACACGAAGACCACACAATACTGTAGGAAATGGAAAAAGAGAAAAAACACCAGTAGAGATGAGAAAAACGCAGATGTGGATAGCAAACGCTTTTGGAACCATTCGTGTAACAAATACAACTATCTATCATGGTGGGATTGCAATGACAAGCTGTTTTTTGAAAAAAGTGAGTTGGCAGATGCTCGTGATGGCAGGATTTACTCTGTTCTCCTGTCTATCGTGCGTAACAAAAAGTACCACCTGAGGTGCGGTGCTGACCAAGCGGTTAGCTCATCGAATTGTGACCCGAAAGTCCCGGATTCCGGCCGCTCTACCGCCGATCCCATTTCTGAATTTTTCCAAACAGGCTTTGTATGGTCGCGGCCCTCACGCTGAAAGTTGACTGTACATTTGTATATTCAATAAATAAAAAAAGAAACAGGTAATTTTATTACTACTGATAGCATGACTATGTGGTTGTCTGCCGAATTAGAATCGAACTAAGAAAGGCGAGGAGGTTTACACGCGATGGAAAGACCATCAACAATATCTAGTGCTTGTGAACAATGGAATGGATTATTTCAAATTTGCTACTCTTAAATGGAAGAGGTCTTTTTTGATACTGATCAATCTAGGTGATTCAAGATCGTAAATCGACTAGTTCACAGACCCCTCCCCTCTACACATACAGCATATACGGACAGGCGAAGCCCCCGGAGACGAAAAGTAATCTCCACAACAGTCCCTTTCAGTTGCATCCCAGTGTGAGCTTATACGTCGAAGGTAAATATTCCAATCCTGCC